CTGATTTGCCCACCTGAATGTGAGTGCAATACTTTATGTTAATAAACGTGTTTTATGGTTTTATGCGATGGTCGCGCCTTTGTTTTTCTTTGCATGGCCATACTGAGAGGTCAATAATTAATCTAAGGGGGCTCATTCCCTCTCTGGATGGCTATAAAAAGCAGCGGTGACGGTCACACTTAGTATCCACACCCCAGATGACATCATATGTGACGAAACGCGTCAGTTTTAGAGCTTGTGCGCCTGACGTCAACGCACTGCTTTCTAACACCAGGAAGTGTACCTGTTCCCGGGACATGAGAACACTCTGCACACAGTGCTGATTTGCCCACCTGAATGTGAGTGCAATACTTTATGTTAATAAACGTGTTTTATGGTTTTATGCGATGGTCGCGCCTTTGTTTTTCTTTGCATGGCCATACTGAGAGGTATTATCGTGAGATTAAGAACGGAGAGGTATTGAAGATGATACTTCCATCCAGTACCATGATTTAACTTCTAATTCTGAGGGATTCGGTGGATATATGCTCATGCTGGTGCTGGAGCATTAATCATATTGAAGACACGTGGTGATCTACTATACGGTTCATAACACTGGGACTATTTATTTTTACATTTGGACTCATTTATGTTATCACTTATACGGTTGCGACAGTTTCTCAGTTGTGATTTGAGTACAGGTATCTCTGGTTTGTTGGATTGTTGGGTCAGTGTCAGGGCAGGGCTGTGGAACGGACAGGTAGGCTAGTGGCAGGGTAACGCACTGGCTGACGACAACCACCACCAACAGACCGAAGTCCCTCAGGGCGCGGAGTCTAAGTCCCAGGCTGCCCTTCACCAGGGCCCCTGATGGTGGGGATGGACTTGACGCAGCCAGGTACCAGGTCGCGGCCCCCGAGACACCCCGGCTGCGGTAATGGCCGCCGCCAATGGCGTGTAGCTGGTGAGAATGACAATAGCGTAGTCAGGCAAGCTGGGTCGACAACAACAGGACAAAATGGTACAGAACAGTAGACAGAGAATCACAGGTCACGGGCCGGGTTCAGCAACGGAAGGTCAGATCAAAGGAAAACACAGAGAATGGTCTTAATCACAAGCCGAGTCAGAATACCAGAAGAGTCACGAGCGTATACACAGAGCTGTAGGAAGACAAAGACACAAGTGCAAAGAGCATGTGCGGGCCACAGGCTTATATGTCAGCAGCCACACCCCTCTGGGGGATGGACCTCAGAGACCTGAAGGCATAAAAGGATTCCCACCATGCACAGCAGAATCCAAGATGGACGCCAGCACATGGAGTAACAAAACTTCAGGGAAAAGGTAGGACCTTGACAGTCAGTAGCCAGACCTGAACCTTGTAGCTCTCCCCCATTGTGTCCACAGTAGCATTTGCGTAGGCAGAGCGGAGTAGGTAGGACCGGCCATAGAGGGATGACTTTGATGCAGTTGGCCAGCTTAACCCCTTCACCGCCTGAGGGTAAAACAAATCTAAATGCCTAAGCACAATTCTGCAACGTTGACATGTGATAGTAAAACCGTCCGTATCACCACAACTACTTTGTACATCCAGGTGGATTATACCTTGATTTTTTCAGGACAAATTGGGCTTTCATTTGGTGGTGAATGGTAATGGATATCTGCTGAATTTTTTTTTTTATTATCAAAGGAAAACTGGCCCAAAATAGTAAAAAAAAAAAATCCTTTTTTTTTTTTTATTTTATTTAGCTGTGTGTTTCTTGTTACAACCACAAACCTACCGCCAAAGAACAACCCAAAATAAATTCTCCAGCTCTTGAGGATCGCAGCGATACCATATATGTGTATGTTATTTGTTGTTTGTACCCATAGTACAGCGCAGAAACCATAGTGCGCATTTTGTTTTTGTCTTTTTTTTTTTTTTTTTTTTACCTAACACACACTGACATTACCACTAAGGCTACGTTCACACTAGAACTGTGTGCAGGCGGCAGACAGGCGTTTGGGAAGCGTTTTTACCGCTTCCCAAACGCCTCTGCCAATTCTGCACATTACAGCACATGGTGCTGTTCAAAACGGACGCCTCTGGACGAGTCAGGAGGCGTTGAAGCCTCCTATTCTCGTCTATGGTGCCGCTCCGCAAACGCCCGACCGCGACGCGGTTGTGGGGCGTTTGCGGAGCGGTAACACCACTCAAACTGCATTATAGGCGTTTGTGGGGCGTTATTAACGCTCGGCAAACGCCTAGCAACCGCCGCTAAACCGCGCATGCGGCGTTTGCCGAGCGTTAAAAAACGCTACACAAACGCCGGACCAACGCTTGCCAAACGCTATAGGGGCGTTTGGCAAGCGGCGTTGGCAAAACAGCCAAGTGTGAACGAGCCCTTTCTGACACCGATACCATTTTTTTAAAATCCTAACCTTTCCTGACCTTTGACCTTGACCCTGACCTAAACACTAACCCTGGCACTGAACTAGATCAAACCTTGATCTAGGTATTTTTCTTTATTTTTTAATTTTATTTAATTTATTTATCTTTTTTTTTTTTTTTTTTTTACAAACTTTTTTTTTTTCCTCTCTCTGACAGGAGTTCGAGAGATACAATGTATCTCTCTTCTCCATTCATAGAGAGAGAGAAAAAAAAACAAGGGGGCCGGGCTGCACAGTGACTGATCACTGTGATAGCCAATCAGAGGCTATCACAGCGATTATGTGACCCGGGACCGGGAGTCCCGGGTCCCGATCGTTAGAACGGGATCCGGTGCTCTCAGTGACTCCGCGGTCTCAGTGCTGGGAGCGCGGCGAACGGCGTGCTCCCAACACAAAGACAGGTACGCAAATATGCGGCCCCACGGAAAAAAGCCCAGGTCCGTGAGGCCGCATATTTGTGTGACGTCGGCGGGAAGGGGTTAAGCATGTATTACAATATGTGTGAAGTAAGTATCCCTCTTTATTGCAGAGTCTGCTTGCAGAGGGTATATACCAGTTCTGCAGAGGGTTTCTCAGTTGTGACATTTGAGAGCAGCAATTTATTTATAATATTTGTATACAATTGACCCGATTGTCTTGCCAGCAGCTATTTTGTCACTTTTTTCACTATTTGCGCAGCTTTTTTTGTAGTTTTTTTTTTCTTCAAATGTCCCCCCTCTGGCCAGTGTACTATTACACATTGAGGTCAAAAGTTCCTGTGTTGGAGCACTCAGGTTTAAATGGAATCCCATTGGACAGGGTGAAAATACCTAAAATTGCATCTCAGAGCAAGGTGTCACTATCCCTTTAAGAAGTGGGTAAGGAAGTTGTGGCCCAGTAGCCTCTCAGCTTTATGTAGTGTGTAATTAAAGTGATATTTAAAAGCAATTAAAAAAAAAAAAAAAAAAAACTTATGTCATACTTACCTGCATCCTCTTCTTCCAGCCAAGTTCCTGGCACCTTCCAAGCAGCAAGTGCCCCTACAGCAAGCAACTTCCCAAGCCACTGGGCATGTTCATTCACAAACAGGTGCGGCTCGGCCCTGCCCCCTCTCTCTCCTCATTGGCTCACTGGCTGTGATTGACAGCAGCGGAAACCAATGGCTCATCTAATGAGAAGAGAGTCCCTGGAGAGGCTCTAGTGCACATCGCTGGATCGAGTTGGGGCTCAAATAAGTACTAGGGGGGCTGGGGGAGCTGTTGCACACAGAAGGTTTTCTACCTTTATGCATAGAATGCTTGGAAGGTAAAAAATGTTGATCCTTTACAACCACTTTAAGCCTCCTTCTGGGCTCTAACATCCAGAACCGGTGGAGCTGGTGGCAACTTACGGCCCAGTAATGACCCTCTCTCATGGAATTAGTGACACCCCTTTCCTCCAGGCTGATGGATCAACAGGTATCCCAATCTTCCTCTGACAACGTGGCAAATACTAACGACAGGCAGCGTGTCCAGTTCAGTGACCCTTATCAGTGGTCACCTATCACTTCCCATGTGGGACTTTCCAAGTCCAGGCCTCTCCTCCTTAAGATGCTCTCTGTTCTCTTCCTGGGACTTGCAGTCCTTTCCAATGCAAGGTTTGATAAGGGCCGTCTCCTTAGGACTACATCCCCCATAGTTCTGGGTGGCTCCCAGCAGTATTTTCTACTAAGTTAGATGAATGAGTGGAGTAGAGGTGGACTTTGTAAAGGCGCAGTAACAGGTCTTTGAGAGCCAGAATTCTTGCTGTTTCTTAGGTGTTCAAATACTTCTGTTCAGCAGTGCGAGACAAATCCATTCTTTACAAATCATACAATGGGATTTCCTGAATTTTTTTTTTTAATTCTGTCTCTGGGAATGCACCTACAATGTGAATGTCAGACCCTCTATGATTTCTAAGTGGGAGAACTTGCAAAATTGCAGGGGGTTCAAATACTTCTGTTGCTCACTGTACATACAGACACACATTAGTTTTATATATATATATTATGTGGGAACTCGCTTCAGAGTGGTAGAGCTTCTTCAAAGCACACAGCAACTCACTTCTTTTTAAGAGCCTTTTTGCCCAATTTTATTTACAAGAAAGTTCAAATAACAAAAATGCTTCCCACACAGGGGTATCCACGATCAAAAAATTCAGCCTTCTGGCTCTTTCAGCTACACAGCTTTATATCGGTCTCCTACAGACTCCTTCCACAAGGTTGTTTTTGCACACAGCAAACCTTTAGCACACAGCTATTCTGGCTCCCACCTCTACTAGGTGTAGCCCACCTGACTCCACAGCAGAGACCTCCTGTCTGCCGGGGTGGAGCCCTCCTGACTCCGTTTTCCACGGTGGAGCCCTCCTGACTCCGTATGCCATGGTGGAGCCCTCCTGACTCCTATCTGCCAGGGTGGAGCCCTCCCAAAACAGGCTTTACAAACCAAAGAGGAAACTGATAAACCAGTTTCCTCTGCATTATGAGATCTGCCTGGAGCCCCTCAACCTGTATGGTTGAGAATCCTGGGTCTCCATGATTTCCACCGTGGCAGGATACCGTACTGCCACAATATATATACTGTATATAAACATCTCACCTTTGAACACATTCAGAATGTGAGATTTATCGATGGGCCATCGTAGGGAAGTGTGATCGACTTCCACAGTAAGTTCAGCACCGTCATCTGTATCTGCGTTTGGAGTTAGAGAAATGCTGCAATCACGCGTGTAGCTTCCATTAATTGCTTTTGTCATCACCACTTCCATTTCCACCGGTAACGTTGTATCATACACAGCATCATCCAGCAGAGGATTTTCTGCAATAGTATCTCCACTTTGATGGCCAGCAGTAGCATTGTCCTCACCCAATGGACGGTCCACAGATACCCATGAGTGGATGAGACGGTTTTTAATGTCATTATGTCTTTTCAGGTATAAATTTATGAGAAGTTCTTTCTGTCTGAATCCAATTATCTGACAGGATAGAGTTGTCTTCTTCTTGTGGGGAATCCACGTCTCCCCATTGATTTTGGATACAATGGTTCTACCTGTACAACAATGAGAAGGAATATTATTAGTTTTAATATTTTAGCCCCCTCTTGTATGCTACTAGTGTAGTGTATTGTAGGTAAATTTATTGTGTATGCCTCATGGTAACTGTGTAAGTGTCAGGGCTCCCGGTATGACCAGAGATGTGTGAACTGACACAGGGAAACGCAGGCTCAAGTATGGTGTAACAATATAATTTATTAAAGGCTATACACAAATATAAAATGCACACTATACACAAAACCAAACCTCCAACTGATAACGGAATGTAAACAGACAAGAGCAGTCAGGGCTGGTGAGGTGGAGTGGTCAGGCAGGCCGGGTCAGGAACCATCGGGCAGACAAGACACAAAGGAGCAGGCAGAGCGTAGTCAGACGGGCCGGGTCAGGAACAATCAGGCAGACAAGGTACCAAAGGAGCAGGCTGGAGAGCGGTCAGGAATAGCCGGGGTCGGTGCAGGCAGAGTTCTATCAAGTCAGGAGTTAGGCAGAGGGATCAGGAAGGCAGACAACAGGATCAGGCACAGGGGCTCATGGGCACAATACACCAAGGCCCTGACTGCAGGCCTGGCCATTCCTTAAATACACCTCCTGCAATCAGCCTCAGGTGATGGCTTGATTGCAGGAGTGAGCTTCTGGCTGCTGAGAGCACCCGCTGGCCAGCCCTGGTACTGCAGCCCACAAGGCAGGTGAGTCCCACCACCATTGGCGAGCCCATTCCTGACAGTAAGTTTGTGATTAAGGTTGAATTACTGCAGATTAAGCTGGATGGCTTAACAGATTGGGACTCTGGCTCTGGAGGACCATAGAACCTTCCAGAAGCCAGTAGGTGGAAAGGGGACCTAATCTGAACATAGCTCCCAACTTTTTGAGATGGGAATGAGGGACACCTATTAACAAATATATGTAGGCATAGGACACGCACCCCTGCCATGCCCCCTTAAAGGAGATTTATACAAAAAGAAATTAGTTAAACCCAAAAATGCTTTTTTTTTTTATTCACTACTTTTCCTTTATATTGGCTTTAGAAGTTTACAAATGCAACAATTTTAGAAATTGGATGAAATGTTTAGCACTGGAAAACACTTTTTGAAATTTAAATAGGGCATCTTATATATAACTGTACAGATCAGACTAAAATCAGTGACAAATGAGGAGGAAGGAGGTACTTTGTTGCAAATGAGGGACAGTCGACTCAAACATGGGCCGTTCATGTGTTCAGCCCGCCGCGCTCCACAATACACTGTGCCCTGACAGTGCATTATGATTGGCCAAAGCATTGGCCAATTAACCTGGGGTCTATCACAGGGCACGATGATGTCACAAGGGGACGGGGTGATCACGCCCCCTTGTGATTCCATCACCCTATTAAGAACTGTCATTGCTGAGCAGCTGTCAGGTGACTGGGAGCTGGCATCAAGGGAGGAGAGCAGATTTTCTTTTACTTTTTCGGGTAGTGGTGGTGGCGGGCATCATGAATGAGGTTGAATGTACTTCGGAGGATATTTTTTTTTAGTTTTGTTTTTTTACTACACTTTTTTTGGTGAATAGGTAGCAATACCATGAACGCCATACTCATTTACATGGACGGCAGGGATCTGGGGGGGCTTCCAGATTCCAATAAGCCCCCGCCCGCAGACCCCCACAACCAACGGCCATGGTTGTGGGGAAGAGGCCCTTGTCCCCATCAACATGGGGACAAGGTGTTTTGGGGGGGAACCTCACCTGCCCCAAAACACCCCACCCATGTTGAGGGCATGTGGCCTGTTATGTTTCAGGAGGGGGGCACTCGTTCGTCTCCCCCCTTTCCTGATCTGCCGGCTGCATGCTCGGTTAAGGGTCTGGTATGAATTTTGGGAGAGGACCACCACGCCATTATAAAAAAAAATTTCGGGGTGTGGGGGGGTTCCCACTCAAAATCCATACCAGACCCCAACAGCTTGGTATGGACAGGAGGGGGGACCCTATGCCGTTTTTTTTTTTTTTTTTTAAATGTAAATTTTTTTTTCTTTTTACATTCAGCTGTCAACCCCACTGACAGCTGAAACATGAATGAATGTTTCACTACTAAAATACCGCGTGACTTCATCATAGAACTCCTGCTGGATTGGAGTCACTGAGTCGTATCTTACCACATACTCAGATACATCTCAGTAAATTGTCCCTGTTAGAAGTTCAAGGTTGAACGTTCGGTAGGTTCGAATGGTCGACCACGAACCGAACAGTGGGGTGTTCAGCCCATCACTGCTAAGAACAGGTCACAGACTTTCTGTTCACTTATCACAGCAAGTAGTTTTAGGAGTGAGTCAAGTCCCTTTCGCTGTGTAGTAGTAGTAGCAGGGCTGAGCTCCCCAGGTATAAGCCAGTCACAGCAGACTGCAGCACTCTAGAAGTGAGCAAAGTCCTTTGCAGTAGCATCAATGGGACAGTTCTTCAGAACACTAGCCCAGTGTTCCCTTTGCACATGCTGACTATCCTGCACAGAGGGGCAGCAACACACACAGAGTCCCCAAGATCTCTCAGAGCCCGTACTCACAAGTCCAAAGACAGAATGGTTGCTCCCTCCAGTCTTCCAAATGACTCTCTCTAGTGATAGCAGACAGATCTTTGCCAGACAGAGCGGATATAGTGAATGCGGGGTCCGGGGAGAGCGGATATAGTGAATGCGGGGTCCGGGGGGAGAGCGGATATAGTGAATGCGGGGTCCGGGGAGAGCGGATATAGTGAATGCGGGGTCCGGGGAGAGCGGATATAGTGAATGCGGGGTCCGGGGAGAGCGGATATAGTGAACGTGGGGTCCAGGGAGAGCGGATATAGTGAACGTGGGGTCCAGGGAGAGCGGATATAGTGAACGCAGGGTCCGGGGACAGCGGATATAGTGAACGCGGGGTCCGGGGAGAGCGGATATAGTGAACGCGGGGTCCGGGGAGAGCGGATATAGTGAACGCGGGGTCCGGGGGAGAGCGGATATAGTGAACGCGGGGTCCGGGGAGAGCGGATATAGTGAACGCGGGGTCCGGGGAGAGCGGATATAGTGAACGCGGGGTCCGGGGAGAGTGGATATAGTGAACGCGGGGTCCGGGGAGAGAGCGGATATAGTGAACGCGGGGTCCGGGGAGAGCGGATATAGTGAATGCTGGGGTCCGGGGAGAGCGGATATAGTGAATGCTGGGGTCCGGGGAGAGCGGATATAGTGAATGCTGGGGTCCGGGAGAGAGAGGATATAGTGAATGCTGGGGTCCGGGGAGAGCTGATATAGTGAATGCTGGGGTCCGGGGAGAGCGGATATAGTGAATGCGGGGTCCGGGGAGAGCGGATATAGTGAATGCGGGGTCCGGGGAGAGGGATAGAGTGAATGCGGTGTCCGGGGAGAGCGGATATAGTGAAATGGGGTCCGGGGAGAGCGGATATAGTGAATGCGGTGTCCGGGGAGAGCAGATATAGTGAAGGGGTCCGGGGAGAGCGGATATAGTGAATGCGGGGTCCGAGGAGAGCGAATATAGTGAATGCGGGGTCCGGGGAGAGCAGATATAGTGAATGCAGGGTCCGGGGAGAGCGGATATATTGAATGCGGGGTCTGGGGTTTAGTAACACTTTAATACTTTGCGGTCAATAGCAAATCTCTCACCTCGATCACTGCAGGACCTTCACTCAGAGCAAGCAGTTTTGCAGCTTCTGTTTAGACTTCTCCCCCTGTCAGAGTTGCTTCATACTGCACCCAACAGGAAGCCCGCTGGATGAATATGGAGGAAAGGACAATGCACTCTGTGTACCCATTGGTTGAGGAAGCAGCAGCACCACCCCCTGCTGCCTTCTCAGCCAATGGGTAGCTGAAGCTCATCATAAGAGCCTCCCTCCCTCCTTTTGATCTGGTATCCAGTGTCCCATCTGTCAGCAATGTGGAGGAGACAGGTGGTTTTCCCATGACAGTGCGTCTCCTGCAGCTGATAGGCAATACTAACCTAGCTGCTGTGGCATTGATTGATGCTCTGTGGGGGGGAATTCAGACCCCCCTGACCCTCCCCCTTATCTACGCCCCAGGTTTGTATTGTTATTACAATGCTGATAGTTTAAAATGAAAGTGTATGCTATGACTGGGGATCATCTTTAAGTGTAAAACACATTTTCAGTATGTAAAGTGTATCTGCTACTTACCTACTTCTGTACTGTACACATTCAGAGTTCTGCATTTAAAGATGGGCCGCTTTAGGGTAATGTATTCCACTTCTACAGCAAGTATCGCGCCGTTATCTTTAACACTCGGGGTGATAGTAATGGAGCAGAGACACTCGTACGTTCCAAGACAGGATTTTGTTATCTCAACTTCTATTTTCACCGGTAGTAATGTACGGCGCTCAGCACCTTCTTCTAGCATAGGCAGGACAACGGAATTATTTTCACCCTGGTCTCCATCAAGCAATCTTAAGTCAGTAGAGGTGTTATTGGATGTCCAGTCTGTGGGTTCCCAAGCGCTAATAAGCTGTTTTTTTTTTATGTCCCTACGCCTTTTCAGATATACATTTATCTGAATTTGTTTTCGTCTGAACTCTGTTATCTGACAGGTTAGAGTGTTTCTCTCCATATGATAAAGACTTCGCTCCCCTGAGAGCTCAGATACAGTAATGTTACCTAGAAAACAATGAGAAGGAGTAAAATAAGTTTCTATTTCCTTTTCCTCTATACAATATAAGAAGGCTGTGTACTCATACAGCGGGGGAAATAATGATTTTGTACGTTTGCCCACTTACAAAGAAATGAAGGGTCTATAATTTTTATCATAGGTGTATTTTAAATGATAGAGACAGAATATCAACCAAAAATCCAGAAAAAAAAACACACAATACAAATGTTATAAATTGAGTTGCAGTTCAGTGAATAAAATAAGTATTTGATCCCCTACCAATCAACAATAATTCTGGCTCCCAAAGATTGGCTATGTGTTCATATGGTACACAGATTGGTCCTGACAATATAAGAAGGTCCTCCTAATGACAACTCGTTATGTGTATAAAAGACATCTGTCCATAGAAGCTCTTTCTTCTATTTAACCCCCTGCCTACCGGGCACTTCTACCCCTTCCGGCCTACTGGGCACTTATACCCCCTTCCTGCCTACCGGAAACTTCTACCCCCTTCCTGCCTACAGGGCACTTCTACCCCCTTCCTGCCTACTGGGCACTTCTACCCCCTTCCTGCCTACTGGGCACTTCTACCCCCTTCCTGCCTACTGGGCACTTCTACCCCCTTCCTGCCTACCGGGCACTTCTACCCCCTTCCTGCCCAGGCCAATTTCCAGCTCTCAGTGCTGTCACACTTTGAATGACAATTGCGTGGTCATGCAACACTGTACCCGTATGAAATTTTTATCATTTTTTTTGTGACAGATAGAGCTTTATTTTGGTGGTATTTAATCACCTCTGGGTTTTTTAGTTTTTTTTAAACAAACCAAAAACCACTGAAAATTTTGAATAAAAAAAAGTTTTTTCTTAGTTTTTGTTATAAAATTTTGTAAATAAGTGATTTTTCTCCTTCACTGATGTGCGCTAATGTGGCTGTAGTGATGGGCACTGATAAGATGCACTGATGGGCACTGATGAGGAGGCACTGGTAGGTGGCACTGATGAGCATTGACAGGCATCACTGATGGGCACTGAAAGGCAGCACTGATAGGCGGCACTGACTGGCAGTGATAGGCGGCACTGACTGGCACTGTTAGGCGGCACTGACTGGCACTGTTAGGTGGCACTGACTGGCACTGATAGGCGGCACTTCTAGGTGGCACTGATTGGCATTGATGGGTGACACTGAAAGGCAGCTCAGATGGGCACTGATATGTGGCATTGATGTGCACTGGTAGGCACTGATATGTGGCATTGATATGGCACTGATGGGCACTGGCACATGGCACTGTTTAGCACTGACAGCTGGCACTGATGGACACTGACAGGTGGCACTTCTGGGGCCACACTGATCATCAGGGCACACTGATCATCAGTGCCCTGATGATCAGTGTACATGTCCCCTCCGCGTTATGCCGATTACCGGCTCTCCTCTCCTCTGTCAGCGTGACAGCTCGAGAGGAGAGAAATGCCGATAACCGGCATTTCCCTGTTTACATGTGATCAGCTGTGATTGGTCACAGCTGATCACATGACCGAGCCGACATCTTCGGCTCCTTCCGTGGATCGGTGATCGGCGCACCACCGATCGCTGCACTGCGCTCTCCCTGAGCCTTGCATGCGCGGTGAGAATGGAAGGACGTCATATGACGTCCTATCAGAACGAGAGAACCACCTTGCGCCCGTCATTGGACTATATGGTGGGCGGGAAGTGGTTAAACATCACCATTGGGCAAATGACTAAAGAGCTCTCAAAGAACGTCAGGGACAAGATCGTAGACCTGGCTGGAATGGGCTACAAGACCATCAGCAAGAAGTTTAGTGAGGAGGAGGCAACTGTTCGAACGATTATTTACAAATGGAAAAAAAAAATACAAAACAACTATCAATCACCCTCAGTCTAGAGCACCATGCAAGATTTCGTCTCATGGGGTATGGATAATCATGAGAAAAGTGAGGGATCAACCCAGAACTACACAGGAGGAGCTTGTGAATGATCTCAAGGCAGTTGGGACTACAATCACTAAACAAACCATTGGTAACACAATATGCCACCATGGATTGAAATCCTGTGGCGCCCGCAAGTTCCCCCTCCTCACGAAAGCACATATACAGGCCCATCTGAAGTTTGCCAATGAACATCTAAATGATTCAGAAAAGGACTGGGAGAAAGTGCTGTGGTCAGATGAGACCAAAATTGAGCTCTTTGGCATTAATTCGACTCGCTGTGTTTGAAGGAAGAGAAATGCTGACTATGACCCTAAGAACACCATCCCTACAGTCGAGCACGGAGGTGGAAACATTATGCTTTTCGGCTGTTTCTCTCCTAAAGGTACAGGACGACTTTGCAGCATTGAGGGGCCAATGGACGGGGCCATGTATTGTAAAATCTTGGATGAGAACCTCCTTCCCTCAGCCAGGACACTGAAGATGGCACGTGGATGGGTCTTCAAGCATGAAAATTACCCAAAAAATACCACCAAGGCAACAAAGGAGTGGCTCAAGAAGAAGCACATGAAGGTCATGGAGTGGCCTAGCCAGTCTCCAGACCTTACTCCTATAGAAAATTTATGAAGGGAGCTGAAACTTTGCCAGGCAAAGAAGGGAGGGAGTTGAAGGGAGTTGCCAAGCGACAGCCAAGAAACTTTAAGGATTTAGAGAAGATCTGTAAAGAAGAGTGGACCAAAATCCCTCCTGAGATGTCTGCAAACCTGGCAACCAACTACAAGAAATGTATTACCTCTGTGCTTGCCAACAAGGGTTCCTCCACCAAGTACTAAGTCATGTTTTGCTTGGGGATCAAATATGTCTTTTACTCACTGAACTGCAACTCAATTTATAAGTTTGTATTGTGTTTGTTCTGGCGTTTTGGTTGATATTCTGTCTCTATCATTTAAAATACACCTATGATAAAAAATTATAGACCCTTCATTTCTTTGTAAGTGGGCAGGGGATTAAATCATTATTTTCCTCACTGTATATACAGGTGCATCTCAATAAATTAGAATATCATCAAAAAGTTAATTTTTTCAGTAATTCAATTCAAAAAGTGAAACTCATATATTATATAGATTCATTACACACAGAGTGATATATTTCAAGCATTCTTTCTTTTAATTTTGATGATTAGGACTTAATGTTAGTGAAAACCAAAATTCAGTATCTCAGAAAATTAGAATATTACATTTAATTAAAAAAAGGATTTTAATACAGAAATATAAGACGCACGCACGCACGCATGCACACACAAACACACACTATTGCCAAAAGTATTGCAACACCCTTCCAATCTTCCAGACTGCTTCTACAAACATTGGTGAAAGAATGGGTCGCTCTCAGGAGCTCAGTGACTCCAAGCGTGGTCCCGTGATAGGTGGTCACCTGGGCAATAAGTCCATCCGTGACATTTCCTGGCTACTAAATATTCCACGCTCAACTGTTAGTGGGATTATAACAAAGTGGAAGCCACAGGGGAGCAACAGCCACTCAGCCACCAAATGGTAGGCCACATCACATGATAGGGCAGGGTCAGCGCATGCTGAAGCGCACAGTGCGCAGAAGTCACCAACTGTCTGCAGAGTCAATAGCTAAAGACCTCCAAACTTGGTGTGGCCTTCAGATTAGCACAACAACAGTGCGTAGAGAGCTTCATGGAATGGGTTTCCATGGCCGAGCAGCTGCATCCAAGCCTTCCATCACCAAGTGCAATGCAAAGCGTCGGATGCCGTGGCGTAAAGCACGCCGCCACTGGACTCTAGAGCAATGTTCTCTAGAGCAGTGTTTTTCAACCTTTTTTGTGCAAAGGCACACTTTTTTCATGAAAAAAAATCACGAGGCACACCACCATTAGAAAATGTTAAAAAAATTTACCTCTGTGCCTATATTGACTATATATAAAGTAATTCTCTTGAATAGGAATCAAACACAAAGAAATTATTTTATAATTACTTTATTATGAAATAATAAAGTATTTTATAATTGGACCCGGGGGCCGGACCAAGAGTAGATGAATGATGTGTATGTGTCATCCATAGTAAGTATAGTAATATTCCCCCATAGTAAGCATAGTAGTAATTAATCCCCCATATAGTAATTCATCCTCCATATAGTAATTCATCCCCCATAGTAATTCATCCCTCATATAGTATTTCATCCCCCCATATAGTATTTCATCCCCCCATATAGTATTTCATCCCCCCATATAGTATTTCATCCCTCATATAGTAATTCATCCCTCATATAGTATTTCATCCCTCATATAGTATTTCATCCCTCATATAGTATTTCATCCCCCATATAGTATTTCATCCCCCCATATAGTATTTCATCCCCTCATATAGTATTTCATCCCTCATATAGTATTTCATCCCCCCATATAGTATTTCATCCCTCATACAGTAATTCATCCCTCATATAGTAATTCATCCCCCATATAGTATTTCATCCCTCATATAGTATTTCATCCCCCCATATAGTATTTCATCCCTCATATAGTAATTCATCCCCCCATATAGTATTTCATCCCCCCATATAGTATTTCATCCCCCCATATAGTATTTCATCCCTCATATAGTAATTCATCCCTGATATAGTAATTCATCCCCCATATAGTATTTCATCCCCCCATATAGTATTTCATCCCTCATAAAGTAATTCATCCCTCATATAGTATTTCATCCCCCACAGTACTATTCCCCCCCCCCCCTTCTAGTAAGCCAAGTTCCCCCCGTGTCAATTCACTTACCTTTTGCGTTCCTCTCGCTGTCTTCCCGCGCCGTTCGGGTCTTCAGGGCGGACTGTGAGAGGAGCCTAGCTCCCCTCCCCTCACGTTCGGCACGCTGCCCGCCTACACACATCCTGACAGCCACATCCGCAAGCCGGATTAAAAGGTCCGCGCGGACTTTTGGGGCTGCCAACCGAGAGGAGGCAGGGGAGCGGCCGACCGAGAGGAGGGAGGGGAGCAGGCGCCCGGCACACAGAAGAGCCGCATTAGACTGGGTAAAGAGCCGCATGTGGCTCGCGAGCCGCGGCTTGCCGACCACTGAATCATTAGATTCTAATGATTGGTCTATTTGTGAGCCGAAGCCACATGTTACAGATGAAATTGGAATTTTTCCCACGGCACACCAGAGAATATCTCACGGCACACTAGTGTGCCGCGGCACAGTGGTTGAAAAACGCTGCTCTAGAGTGACCAATCACACTTCTCTGTCTGACAATCTGATGGATGTGTCTGGGTTCGGGGGTTGCCAGGAGAACGGTACTTGCCTGACTGCATTGTGCCAAGTGTAAAGTTTAGTGGAGGGAGGATTATGGTGTAGAGTTGTTTTTCAGGAATTGAGCTTGGCCCTCTAGTTCCAGTGAAGGTGTCAGCATACCAAGACATTTTGGACAATTTCATGCTCCCAACTTTGTGGGAAGAGTTTGGGGATGGCCCCTTCCTGTTCCAACATGACTGCGCACCAGTGCCCAAAGCAAGGTCCATAAAGACATGGAGGAGCCAGTTTGGGGTGGAGGAACTTGACTGACCTCAACCCCATAGAACACCTTTGGGATGAATTAGAGCGGAGACTGCGAGCCAGGCCTCCTCCCCCAACATCAGTGCCTGACCTGACAAATGAGCTTCTGGAAGAATGGTCCAGCCTTCCCATAGAGACCCTCCTAAACCTTGTGGACGGCCTTCCCAGAAGAGTTGAAGCTGTTATAGCTGCAAAGGGCGGGGCCAACTCAATATTGACCCCACGGAGTTCATGTAAAGGCAGGCGGCACAATGTTTTTGGCAACATAGAGTGTATAATATATATATATACAGTGGGGCAAAAAAGTATTTAGTCAGCCACCAATTGTGCAAGTTCTCCCACTTACAAAGATGAGAGAGGCCTGTAATTGGCATCATAGGGAGACCTCAACTATGAGAGACAAAATGAGAAAAAAAATCCAGACAATCACATTGGCTGATTTAGAAATAATTTATTTGCAAATTATGGTGGAAAATAAGTATTTGGTGAATATGAAAAGTTCGTGTCAATACTTTGTTATATATCCTTTGTTGGCAATGACAGAGGTCAGACGTTTCCTGGAAGTCTTCACAAGGTTGGCACACACTGTTGCTGGTATGTTGGCCCATCCTCCATGCAGATCTCCTCTAGAACAGTGATGTTTTGGGGCTGTCGCTGGGCAACACAGACTTTCAACTCCCTCCAAAGGTTTTCTATGGGGTTGAGATCTGGAGACTGGCTAGGCCACTCCAGGACCTTGAAATGCTTCTTACAAAGCCACTCCTTTGTTGCTCGGGCGGTATGTTTGGGATCATTGTCATGTTGGAAGACCCAGCCACGTTTCATCTTCAATGCCCTTGCTGATGGAAGGAGGTTTGCACTCAAAATTTCACGATACATGGCCCCATTCATTCTGTCCTGTACATGGATCAGTCTTCCTGGTCCCTTTGTGGAGAAACAGCCCCAAAGCATGATGTTGCCACCCCCATGCTTCACAGTAGGTATGGTGTTCTTTGGATGCAACTCAGCATTCTCTCTCCTCCAAACACGACGAGTTGTGTTTCTACCAAACAGTTCTATTTTGGTTTCATCTGACCATATGACATTCTCCCAATCCTCTTCTGGATCATCCAAATGCTCTCTGGCAAACTTCAGACGGGCCCAGACATGTACTGGCTTAAGCAGGGGGGACACGTCTGGCACTGCAGGATCTGAGTCCCTGGCGGCGTAGTGTGTTACTGATGGTAGCCTTTGTTACGGTAGTCCCAGCTCTCTGCAGGTCATTCACTAGGTCCCCCCGTGTGGTCCCGGGATTTTTGCTCACCATTCTTGTGATCATTTTGACCCCACGGGGTGAGATCTTGCGTGGAGCCCCAGATTGAGGGAGATTATCAGTGGTCTTGTATGTCTTCCATTTTCTAATTATTGCTCCCACAGTTGATTTGTTCACACCAAGCTGCTTGCCTATTGCAGATTCAGTCTTCCCAGCCTGGTGCAGGTCTACAATTTTGTTTCTGGCGTCCTTCGACAGCTCTTTGGTCTTCACCATAGTGGAGTTTGGAGTGTGACTGTTTGAGGTTGTGGACAGGTGTCTTTTATACTGATAACAAGTTCAAACAGGTGCCATTGATACAGGTAATGAGTGCAGGACAGAGGAGCCTCTTAAAGAAGAAGGTACAGGTCTGTGAGAGCCAGAAATCTTGCTTGTTTGTAGGAGACCAAATACTTATTTTCCACCATAATTTGCAAATAAATTCTTTCCAAATCAGCCAATGTGATTGTCTGGATTTGTTTTCTCATTTTGTCTCTCATAGTTGAGGTCTCCCTATGATGCCAATTACAGGCCTCTCTCATCTTTTTATGTGGGAGAACTTGTACAATTGGTGGGGACTAAATACTTTTTTGCCCCACTGTATATATATAAATAAAATAGTAAATGTTTTTTCTTCATAGAATGCTAGGATCCCCATTAATCTTGTATGACTTCCTTTTGAGCCCCCTCTGCTCAATATTGTTTCTTTCAGCTTTCATACACTTACCTATGCTGAAATATCTCCAGAGAGATGTCATATGATAAACAAATGAGATTGAATATAAAATAATTCCAGCAGATAATACAATATACATCCACAGTCCAACATCTATAAAAGAAAAGCACAAGAGATGTAATATTAGTCACTCCCCGATATACTGACTATAATCCTATTGCTGCATTCACACATTTATTTTACTTTTGTAGTCCAACTGTTCAATCCTGTGTTCTCTGGGTTCCTTTTGTGTTTTAGTTTTTCTAGCCGGTCCCCGATTTCCAGGAGCAGCAAGGAATTGTGACCATTATCCACTGTATTGATGGTTCAGTCATCACTTGTGCCTCCATAGTTATTCTCTACATTTATATCCTGCAGTCGTCTACACTGAGCAAAGTGTTTTCTACAAGTTTAATTAAAAAAAAATAAATCGCCCCACCCTCCAGGTAAGGTCACCAAAGGTAAAGCTACAAAAGATAAGCTAAATAAAAAAAAACTTGCTGTAGCACCTGGTGACAACCATAGGTGTGCACAGCCTATAACACCCCAAAGCTCCATCACATATGTTTGTGTGTGTATATATATTATATATATATTAATTTCACATTGATCTCCCTGCCAACACAGTAAAACCAGAAGTGTCCCTAGGGTTGGTGTCACCTGGTGCGGTAACACTTGGTGACACCCCCTCCGACGATCTCCGCAGAATGGATCGGATCTGCGGATTGAGCATAATGGATCGGACTCCGATCCATTATGCTCAATCCGCAGATCCGATCCATCCTGCGGGGATCGTCAGCTTTCTTTACAACTTACCTTTTCTTGGCGCGGGTCCGGGTGTAGCGGCAAGATGTGTCTCCCATGTAGATATGTCCCCCCTGAAGCAACTGCGCATGTCCCGGTTTCAGGCACGATCAATCAATGATAGCAATAGTTCTATCATCAATTGATCGTGCCTGAAACCGGGACATACGCAGTTGCTTCAGGGGGGACATATCTACATGGGAGACACATCTTGCCGCTACACTGGTGTCACTCCGTATAGGTTGCATGCCGACGATCCTACGGGGAGCCATCCTGATCGGAGCCATCCTGCAAGGATTGTCAGCTTGCTTTACAACTTACCTTTTTGTGGAGCGGGTCCGGAGTCACCTGGTGCAGACCGCACCCCCTGCACCAGCCTCAGGACACCACTGAGTAAAACACTTCTGCTATGGCAGAGCTGGTCAGAGGGAGTTCTTTCCCATCTCCCCGTTGCCACACAGAGTGATAATGCTAGTGCGCACCAGGTGATTAGGGTGTGCCCAGGCACATGCAGCACACACAGTGATTAGGGTGTGCCCAGGCACGCGCAGCACACCGAGTGATTAGGGTGTGCCCAGACACAGGCAGCACACCGAGTGATTAGGGTGTGCCCAGACACAGGCAGCACACACAGTGCTTAGGGTGTGCCCAGGCACGCGCAGCACACACAGTTATTAGGGTGTGCCCAGGCACATGCAGCACACCGAGTGATTAGGGTGTGCCCAGGCACATGCAGCACACCGAGTGATTAGGGTGTGCCCAGAAACACGCAGCACACCGAGTGATTAGGGTGTGCCCAGAAACACGCAGCACACCGAGTGATTAGGGTGTGCCCAGAAACACGCCGCACACCAAGTGATTAGGGTGTGCCCAGAAACACGCAGCACACCGAGTGATTAGGGTGTGCCCAGAAACACGCAGCACACCGAGTGATTAGGGTGTGCCCAGGCACACGCAGCACACCGAGTGATTAGGGTGTGCCCAGGCACACGCAGCACACCGAGTGATTAGGGTGTGCCAGACCAGCAGCACAACACGCAGCAGCACACCGAGTGATTAGGGTGTGCCCAGACACATGCAGCACACACAGTGATTAGGGTGTGCCCAGGCACACGCAGCACACACCAGGCACACGCAGCACACCAAGTGATTAGGGTGTGCCCAGACACATGCAGCACACACACAGTGATTAGGGTGTGCCCAGACACATGCAGCACACACAATGATTAGGGTGTGCCCAGACACATGCAGCACACACAGTGATTAGGGTGTGCCCAGGCACACGCAGCACACCGAGTGATTAGGGTGTGCCCAGACACACGCAGCACACCAAGTGATTAGGGTGTGCCCAGGCACACGCAGCACACCAAGTGATTAGGGTGTGCCCAGACACACGCAGCACACCGAGTGATTAGGGTGTGCCCAGACACACGCAGCACACCGAGTGATTAGGGTGTGCCCAGACACACGCAGCACACCGAGTGATTAGGGTGTGCCCAGACACACGCAGCACACCGGTAGTGATTAGGGTGTGCCCAGACACACGCAGCACACCGAGTGATTAGGGTGTGCCCAGGCACATGCAGCACACGCCAAGTGATTAGGGTGTGCCCAGGCACACGCAGCACACCGAGTGATTAGGGTGTGCCCAGGCACACGCAGCACACCAAGTGATTAGGGTGTGCCCAGGCACACGCAGCACACCCTGTGCGCACACCTGTGGTGGCAACTAATGCTCAGAGTTCCCGATGCTAAAAACAAACACTAAGAAGTTGTAGTTAGAAATAAGTGAACAACAAACATTTCTTTTCCGCTAGTGATTTGTGATTTTCTCACCCAAAATCTATTCTACCTTTTCAAAACCTTACCCCCCAAAAAATTTAAAATCTGCAAACTGAGGTATTAAGCGCATAGGTTTTGCCAAAGTGTCCAAAATTTTCTTGATGAAAACTAAAAATTGTATTGTGGGAGAACCCTAGATTGGTGGGAATAGGATTTTTTTTAGGGAGGATGGATGGTGGTAACAGTATAGCTCAGCAGGAAGAGGGGGGTGATGCAACAATCTGTTGAATTTTGTAGCTGGGGGAGGGCTGGCTTTGGCTAACACAGCCACTTCAGGTGGCGTTGGTTATAGAAATTGGAGTATTTCTGTTATTTAGCAGCTACTAATGGTGTTGGTTGGTGGTGGGAATGGTGGTGTCTATGTGTATTCTGTGGTATCAGGGATGGGTAGCAGAAAACTAAGACTTATCAAGCCCTGATATTTGCCGGCAACAGAGTTGTGCACTTTTTGGTTAAAATGCTCTCCAGCATACTAAATACACTCTCAAAAAGAATGGTAAAATGTGGAGAACCTTTTTGGCAAACTGAGTCCACTGTAGACCACTGCTCCAGCCTACAGAACCAATATTCTATGGAGGTTACCAGCTACGGCTTTACTGACCGTGTGGTCGCTGATGAAATAAATCATATTTTTTGTAAAAAAGCAGTCAGTATTATTATTATACAGGATTTATATAGCACCAACAGTTTACGCAGCGCTTTACAATATAAAGGGGGACAGTACAATTACAGTACAGAAGGGATAGGAGGGCCCTGCTGATGGTGCTTACAATCTAAAGGGAAGGGGAGGTGGTACAAAAGGTAATGACTGTGGGGGGATGATCTGATGGAGGTGACTCAAGTACAGTTCTTAGGTGGAGGTGGAATAGGGTTCCCTGAATAAATTAGTTTTTAAGGATCACCTAAAGGTGGACAGGGTAGGAGCTGACCAGACATACTAAGGAAGGGAGTTCCAGAGGATGGGAGAGGTTCTGGAGAAGTCCTGGAGGCAAGTGTGAGGGGTGGTAACAAGGGAACTGGAGACCAGGAGGTCTTGGGAGGAATGGAGCAGACGATTTGGATGATATCTGGACAAGGTTGGTGATGTAGCTAGGGGAAGTGATGTGAATGGCTTTGTACGTAGCGGTTGGTATGTTGACTTTTATACATTGGTCTAGTGGAAGCCAGTGATGGGATTGGCTGAGCAGCAGTCATGGATCGGTAATAAGGAGTATTGGTCTAGCAGCAGCATTCATAATAGACTGAAGTGGGTAAAGGTCAGTCATTGAGGAGGGAGTTGCAGTAATTAAGATGGGATGCAACCAAAGCATGGATAAGTTGTTTTGTGATGTCATTATGAAGAGGCAAATTCTGGAAATGTCGCGGAGGTCAAGGTGGCAGGATTTAGTCAGTGACTGGAAGTAAGGGCCGAAAGAGAGTTCAAAGTCTAGGATTACGCCTAGCAACCTGGCTTATGTGTAGGGACCAATGGTTGTGCCATTGATTTCAGTGATCAGTATCAAAAAGAAATTACCAAACAATAACAATCTCATGCAGAATCAGTAAAAAAAACCAAAAAAACTTCCTGCAAAAGGCTCCTCTGGTCCGGCAATGTGCCATTCCAGCTCTGCTGCCTTGGGCTGTACAATAGGCCCATTGGCTGATACTTGGCTTACATTGTATACCAGCTTTTGGTATTTATCACGAGTTTCATAAACTTACCATCGAAATCCCTTGTGAAGTGTATTGTAAAACAAAGTAGAGGTAACATTGATATAAGGACAGCACACTGAAGAACATCTATCCATGGTCTCCAACCTATAAAAGAGAAGATAGACATTTCTTAGTTCTATAGATGAAAAGAATCCCCAGCCGTTTAATTTATTTATATAATTCTGTTTGCAAATGAGAGAACAAAAACACAAAACTGCTTCCAGATCCAGAAGGTTTGTCTTCTTTTTTTACCAACCTCCCGGTTCCACTTCACATAAATTGAAAATTGACCCTGAGAAGGTGAATTTGGAGTGGGGAGGAATAGTACTTGGGGGTATTTGTGCTGGGATGGGATTAGTGTTGGGAAGTATTTTGTGCTGGGATGGGATTGGTGTTGGCAGGTATTTGTGTTGGGATGGGATTAGTGTTGGGAGGTATTTGTGCTGGGATGGGATTAGTGTTGGGAGGTATTTGTGCTGGGATAGGATTAGTGTTGGGAGGTATTTGTGCTGGGATGGGATTAGTGTTGGGAGGTATTTGTGTTGGGATGGGATTGGTGTTGGGAGGTATTTGTGCTGGGATGGGATTAGTGTTGGGAGGTATTTGTGCTGGGATGGGATTAGTGTTGGGAGGTATTTGTGCTGGGATAGGATTAGTGTTGGGAGGTATTTGTGCTGGGATGGGATTAGTGTTGGGAGGTATTTGTGTTGGGATGGGATTGGTGTTGGGAGGTATTTGTGCTGGGATGGGATTAGTGTTGGGAGGTATTTGTGTTGGGATGGGATTAGTGTTGTGGGGTATTTATTATATAATTATATTATTATTATACAGTATTTATAAAGCAGCAATGGTTCGCTCAGCGCTGTACATTACAATGGGAGACAATACATGAGACAGTACAATAACAATACAATGCGATACACAAGGGGTTCAAGGGCCCTGCTCCTTGGAGCTTACAATCTAGGAGGGAGGGGATAGTGGCAGTTACAGGAGGAAATGGCTGTGGGGAATGGAGTGGTAGGAAGAGTGGAGGAGGGCGACAATTAGGGGGTGGGGTAGGCTTCCATGAAGAGGTGGGTTTTCAGGGTGCGCCTAAAGGAGAGGAGAGTAGGTGATAGTCTGATGGATTGGGGTTGGGAGTTCCAGAGGATGGGTGACGCCCTGGAGAAGTCCTGGAGGCGGGCATGGGAGGAGGAGACCAGAGAACTAGAGAGAAGGAGGTCTTGTGAGGAGCGGAGAGTGCATGTTGGGTGGTACTTGGATATTAGGTCAGTGATGTAGTTTGGGGCCGTATGATGGACAGCTTTGTACGTCAGTGTTAGGATTTTGAATTTGATCCGTTGGGCAATCGGAAGCCAGTGGAGGGATTGGCAGAGGGGGGTGGCAGAAACGGAGCGGTTGGTGAGGTGAATGAGTCTGGCTGCCGTATTCAGGATCGACTGAAGTGGGGATAGCCTGTGGCAGAGCAGGCCATTGAGGAGGGAGTTGCAGTAATCGAGTCGTGATATGATGAGGGAGTGGATGAGCTGCTTAGTGGTTTCTGGGGTTAGGAACTTGTGGATTTTAGCGATGTTGTGGAGGTGGAGTCTCCATGAGTTTGTGAGTGATTGGATTTGGGGCTAGAAGGATAGATTGGAGTCAAGTATGACACCAAGTACCCTGGTCTGCAGGGCGGGCCTGATGGTGGCATTGTTGGACGTGATGGAGAAGTCAATGGGGGTTGGTGTGCGGGTTGGGGGGAAGACTAGGAGCTCAGTTTTGGAGAGGTTCAGTTTAAGGAAGTGGAGCGACATCCAGTCTGATATGTCGTTCAGCAGGCTTGTGATTCGGGCGAAGACTGAGGGGGTGAGGTGGGGGGTTGAGAGATAGATTTGCATGTTGTCGGCATAGAGGTGGTAGTTGAAGCCGTGAGAGTGTATGAGTTGGCCAAGGGAGGAGGTATAGATGGAGAAGAGAAGGGGCCCTAGGACAGAGCCTTGGGGGACCCCAACAGAGAGAGAGGGAGTGAGGGGGAGGTGGTAGCGTTATAGGTAATGCTGAAGGAGCGTTGTGATAGGTAGGACAAGAGCCAGGAGAGAGCGGAATCTCTGAGGCCAAGGGAGTGTAGTTTTTTGAGGAGGAGGGGGTGGTCGACTGTGCCGAAGGCCGCGGAGAAGTCGAGGAGTAGGAGCACTGAATAGTGGCCGTTAGCTTTGGCAGTTAGCAGGTCGTTGGAGAGTTTGAGTAAGGCAGTTTCGGTGGAGTGTAGGGGACGGAAGCGCTCGAGGAGTTTGGATGTAAATGGCAGCAGGGAGATTGTGTGTTGGGAGGGAGCGTAGGATGGAGGAGGAGGGAGGTCGTAGGAGTTGTGAGGGGATAGGGTCAAGGGGGCAGGTGGTGAGGTGGGCATTAGAGAAGATCTTGGTGACCTCCTCGATGGTAGTAAGGTCGAAGGAGTGGGAGTGTTGAGGGGGCTTCAGTGTGAGGAATGTTAGGTGGGGTGGAGGTCAGAACAGTGGTGAGGCCGAGGGAGAGGGGTGATGAGGGGGTTGCTGTGTGAGGGGGACGGGTGGGGAGGAAGTTTGAGCAGCGGCGATGTCCCTGTGAATAGTGTCAATCTTGATGGGATTAGTGTTGGGGAGTATTTGTGCTGGGATGGGATTAGTGTTGGGAGGTATTTGTGCTGGGATGGGATTAGTGTTGGGGGGTATTTGTGCTAGGATGGGATTAGAGTTGAGGGGTATTTGTGCTGGGACGGGATTAGTGTCAGGGGGTGTTGATGGTGGAAGAAAATGAGTGCTAGAAGGGGGATGCGAGGGGAAAGGAATTTGTGCTGGGGAGGTCAAATGTGGATGGAGAGTATTTGTGCTAGGTGGGAGAATTGAGGAAACTGGGGGGGGAGGATCATTTGTGCTAGGAACCAGAAAAAGGGGATTGGGGGGGGGGGGGCATTTGGAGAGGAGACTATTTGTGCTAGGAAGGGGAATATTGGGGGGCAGGGGTTGTGCTAACAAGGGGGATTTGAGGCAAGAATGTTTTAATGAAGTTTTTCTTTAAGGTCGGCTCAGACAAAGTGTTAGCTCCTCTGTTTATTTTGAGAGTGCACACAAAATCACATACAAAGGAAGAATTTCATTTACAAAACTGATTGGGCTGAAGTTTATACATGTCAATGAGACAGCAATCAAAATTATTATTTATATATATATTATTATACAGGATTTACGGCGCCAACAGTTTGCTCTGCGCTTTACAATATAACGGGAGACAATACAGCAACAATACAGTTCAATACAAGAGGGATAGGAGGGCCCTGATCCTGGGAGCTTACAATCTAGGAATCAAATCATACTTTTTGGATACAAGAAGACTTTTGTTTCAGGCCCCAGTGAAACTTGTGAATGAGACCATTTCAATTGCCTGCTGGAGACAGGTGAAAAGGTCTCGGTGGGAAGCCCCACTGAAAGCAAGGGGAACCTGACATTGCCCACAGCTATTTGCGGCCATTCACATGTAATTGCTTCAGCAACAAATACCTTGGATTCAGGTAATCAAAAATGTCTCCTTTTAGGAGTGTGAATAGGGCTTTGTTTAACCATGCCCATTTAAGCCAGTCCCATTGTCTATTTAATGCAATTTGACCACACCCACTGTTCGCCTTGGCATATTTCACCGCATTACTTCTCTACTTTGGGAGCCCAAAGGTGTCCCAGGCCTTTTGCAATCCTGCCACCTAAGCTATAACCTGTAAGGAGATTGCTGTGAGTTGCATAGATTGTTAAAGCGATATTAAACTCAAAAGCAAACAGTTCTTAGATGTGATGGCTGCATTAGTTTTCATTTTTAGGTTTTCTTTAATCATACACCTACACAGTGGCGAAAATAATTATTCGATCTCCTGCAAATTTTGTAAGATCAGTCGCCCTCAGGCTGGAGCTCCATGCAAGATTACACCACGTGGGTTAAGTTTACCCACTTGCCCAAAATGAAGGGTCTATAATTTTTATCATAGGTGTATATAAATGATAGAGATAGAATATATCAACCAAAAATCCAGAAAAAAAAAACACACAATATAAATGTTATACATTTAGTTGCAGTTCACTGAGTAAAATAAGTATTTGATCCCTTACCAACCAACAATAATTCTGGCTCCCACAGACTGGTGATGTGCTCATGTGGTACACAGATTAGTCCTGTCAATGGAAAAAAGGTGCTCCTAATGACAACTCGTTATGTGTATAAAAGACACCTGTCCACAGAATCACTTTCTTCCATTCAAACATCACTATCATGGGCAAATGACCAAAGAGCTGTCAAAGGACGTCAGGGACAAGATTGTACACCTACACAAGGCTGGAATGGGCTACAAGACCATCAGCAAGAAGCTTGGTGAGAAGGAGACAACTGTTGGAGCGATTATTCACAAACGGAAGAAATACAAAATAACCATCATCGCTCGGTCTGGAGCTTCATGGAAGAATTCGCCTCATGGGGTAACGATGATCATGAGAAAAAGTGAGGGATCAGAACAGAACTACACGGGAGGAGCTTGTGAGTGATCTCAAGGCAGTTTGGGACCAAAACAAACCATTGGTAACACAATTGAAATCCAGCAGCTCTCGCAAAGTCCCCCTCCTCACGAAGGCACATGTACAGACCCGTCTGAAGTTTAACAATAAACATCTAAATGAATCAGAGAATGATTGGAAGAAAGTGCTGTGGTCAGATGAGACCAAAATTGTGCTCTTTAGCATTAACACGACTTGCCGTGTCTGGATGAAGAAAAATGCTGAATGTTACCCTAAGAACACCATCCCTACAGTCAAGCATGGAGGTGGAAAGATTATGCTTTGGGGCTGTTCCTCTGCTAAAGGTACAGGACGACTTTGCCACATTAAGGGGCCAATGGACGGGGCCATGTATTGTAAAATCTTGGATGAGAACCTTTTCCCTCAGCCAGAACACTGAAGATGGGTTGTGGATGGGTCTTCAAGCATGACAATGACCCAAAACATACCACCAAGGCAACAAAAGAGTGGCTCAAGAAGAAGCACATTAAGGTCATGGAGTGGCCTAGCTAGTCTCCAGACCTTCATCCTATAGAAAATTTATGAAGGGAGCTGAAACTTCAAGTTGCCAAGCAGAAGCCAAGAAACCTTAAGGATTTAGAGAAGATCTGTAAAGAAGAGTGGACCAAGATCCCTCCTGAGATGTGTCCCAGCCTGGTAACCAATTTCAAGAAATGTCTTACTGTGCTCACCAACAAGGATTCCCCCACCCAGTACTAAGTCATGTTTTGCTTGGGGATCAAATACTTATTTTACTCACTGAACTGCAACTCCATTTATAACATTTGTATTGTGTGTTTTTTCTGGATTTTTGATTGATATTCTGTCTCCATCATTTAAAATACACCTATAATTAAAAAAAAATTATAGACCCTTCATTTCATTGTAAGTGGGAAAACGTACAAAATCTGCAGGGGATTAAATCATCATTTTCCCCACTGTATATACCCAGAAGCTATGGACAACAATAGTTAACTATTAAACATTGCCTGGTAATCCCTGCTTCTAGTCTGGATTAGTAGCAGCTCCTTCCTAGGATGTGTGCTCTCAGAAACTCTCTCTCTGCTTCCTCCCTCTGGGGTTTCTAACCCAATCACACAGAGACAGGAAGTGATGTACATTATTAACTCTGTGACCTTGAGCAGCACACCCACTTACAGATACAGACAGTAGAGGACAACAGATCCCTACACAAGGATTACCTTTAATGTTAATTTGTGAGGTCATCAATATCTATTTTATTTGTTCGTTGAAAGCAATCAATCTGATAAAAGAAGGCTGCATGTGTCAATATCAAATGAACAGTCGAATGATAATGAACAATGATCAATTATGCAAATACCAAATTACTGTGTACGTCCGGCATCACTGAACACCCCCTGTACTTCCTGGAGACCCGGGATTGGTGGTCTGGGAGGGTTCTCCGGTCCCTAAATGATCTGATATCACACGTTCTGGTATCTGTTAGAAACTTACCTTTTTTAAAATGATTCTTCGCAGCTTTTGTTAAACCTGCTAATCCAGCCAACACAACCACAGCAAACCACATGACCACCACTGGATTCCGCCCTATAGAAGAAAAACACAATACACATCAGTTGACGCCAAGGTAGACCTGAAAATAAGCACTTTTCAACACTTTTCAACCATCTCCTCCTAGTAACTAGATTTTCATTGGCTAAAACAAAAAAAAACAGTCAAGCCTGAAATTGCTCCAACATCGTTTATAAATGTTCAGGTTTGGTTGCACCTTAAGTATTCAGCGTTTTGCAACCATCTGTCACGTACCTGATGGGGAGACTGAAATGACGAGGTCAGCCTCACTTGTGTCACTAGCCCTGACCCCACTGGAGTTGGAACAGAGGGAATCTAGGACCCAGGGGAACAAGAGCGCCAGTAGTTGTTGTTTGCAGCTCTTGCAGATGATGACCTTGGAAGACTGATGATCCTCTGATTCAGGCACAGTGGTAACATGCAGAGCTGGTTTTGTAGATCACCAGGTGTGCACCAGAGCAAGGCAAGAAGCGAGAGGGAGAGACAGGAGCAATGTCATAGGAATAGCCAGAGTCATCAACAGGTGGACAGCAAAGTACAGAATCAGAAGCAAAGCCGAAGTCAGGAGCAGAGCCGAAGTCAGGAACCAGTATCAATCAGGAGGGTAATCAGAGTCAGGTGAGGACAAGCCGGGTCAGCAACAAGGGAATCACCAGGAACAAGCAGGACACAGGGGAGCTGAAGACCAGTCAGCACTCAACATGGGCAGGGACACCCTTAAAATAGTCCGTCTGGCACCAATCTTCACTGTGCGTGTGCGCAATCACGCATTTCCGCGTGCATGCGCACAACCGGTCATCCTTCTCCGGACGTTTCTATGCGCATGCACATTTCTATTCACAATACGTTTCACCGGAAATCCCTTACACCATCACCCTGCACAAGCTCTGGATCTAGACTGAAGGATCTGGAATTTGTGGAAAGCAATAAAAGCCTAATTTTACTGACGTTAGGTTCAGTAAAGTGTTAGTAAACCCACAACAGTACAATCAGTCTGTAGATGCAGTAAAGCATGCTTGTTATACTCACTGTGGGACCTAAGGGGTTAATCCTCTGCATTGTGTAAAAAGGCTGTTTGATCCTGACTTCTCTGATCCTCCCCTTCTTACAGTATCCCCCTCTTATCTCCTGATAAGACATGTTGTGTGGAGTCATTCTGCACATGCTCAGTTTGGTGTGTATTCCTAGAAATATTTTTTTTTCCTTCTGGGAGAATGCATGTGATCAGCACAGGGCTAATCAGCACTGTCCAGACAGAGGGTCAGGGGTTCTGCATCCTCCTAGAGCAGAAAGAGAAAACTCCTCCTATAAGCTTTAACCAATGCTCGGCTGGACACTGATAGAAGTCACAAGACTGCTCTAACTGCTGATGAGAAAAGGTATTTAGCAGTTTTTAGTTACTAAAATAACTGCATTTCCATGTTCTGTGTACTGTGGGAGAGCGGATATAGTGAATGCAGGGTCCGGGGAGAGCGGATATAGTGAATGCGGGGTCCGGGGAGAGCGGATATAGTGAACGCGGGGTCCGGGGAGAGCGGATATAGTGAATGCGGGGTCCGGGGAGAGCGGATATAGTGAATGCGGGGTCTGGGGAGAGCGGATATAGTGAACGCGGGGTCCGGGGAGAGCGGATATAGGGAATGCAGGGTCCTGGGACAGCGGATATAGTGAATGCGGGGTCCGGGGAGAGCGGATATAGTGAATGCAGGGTTCGGGGAGAGCGGATATAGTGAATGCAGGGTTCAGGGAGAGCGGATATAGTGAATGCGGGGTCCGGGGAGAGTGGATATAGGGAATGCGGGGGTCCGGGGAGAGTGGATATAGGGAATGCGGGGTCCGGGGAGCGCGGATATAGTGAATGCGGGGTCTGGGGAGACCGGATATAGTGAATGCGGGGTCCGGGGAGAGCGGATATAGTGAATGCGGGGTCCGGGAGACCGGATATAGTGAATGCGGGGTCCGGGAGAGACCGGATATAGTGAATGCGGGGTCCGGGGAGACCGGATATAGTGAATGCGGGGTCCGGGGAGAGTGGATATAGTGAATGCGGGGTCCGGGGAGAGCGGATATAGTGAATGCCGGGTCCGGGGAGACCAGATATAGGGAATGCAGGGTCCTGGGAGAGCGGATATAGTGAATGCGGGGTCCTGGACAGCGGATATAGTGAATGAGGGGTCCTGGGACAGTGGATATAGTGAATGCGGGGTCCGAGGTTTAGTAACATATGAAGGCTACTTACTTGGCACAGAAAAATTGACAGAAGTTTTCTCCTTCAGGATCTGTGGATCACAATGCAGGATAATACATCTCCAGTCTCAACTCCAGTAGACGACCTCACACTCAGCATACTGGTCACATTAAATGTCCCATCGCTGTTCCCTCAATAGTTTTGTGAGAAAAAAATTTGTATGCAAAGATGAGCTGGTGGCCGTATATTTACTGTATTTAACCCATTGGATGTCCACAGTTTCTGGGTAAAAATACAGTTGTGGCCAAAATTATTCAACCCCCACTGAAATTGAGTGTTTTGGCCAGTTTGACATTGCTTTTGATCATTCAGTCATCTTGCTTACATTTACATTAAGAGGCACTTGTAGGTCAGACAAATATAACATAACAGTTATAATGAAATAACCACAAATGTCTTTTCTTGCTCACAGCATTATCAGTTTTATTCAACCCCCAAGTGACATTCAATCTTAGTACTTAGTACAGCATCCTTTTACAGTTATAACAGCTTTTAAACGTGAAGCATAGCTTGACACAAGTGTCTTGCAGCGATCTACGGGTATCTTCGCCCATTCTTCATGGGCAAAGGCCTCCAGTTCAGTCACATTCTTAGGCTTGCGCACTGCAACTGCTTTCTTTAAGTCCCACCAGAGGTTCTCAATCGGATTTAAGTCTGGTGACTGCGATGGCCACTCCAAAATGTTCCAGCCTTTCCTCTGCAACCATGCTCTAGTGGACTTGGAGGTATGCTTGGGATCATTGTCCTGTTGAAAGGTCCAACGTCTCCCAAGCCTCAGGTGTGTGACGGACTGCATCACGTTTCCATCCAATATCTCCTGGTACTGAAGAGAATTCATGGTACCTTGCACACGCTGAAGCTTCCCTGTACCTGCAGAAGCAAAACAGCCCAAAGCATGATTGACCCTCCACCATGCTTCACAGTAGGCAAGGTGTTCTTTTCATCATAGGCCTTGTTCTTCCTCCTCCAAACATAGCGTTGATCCATGGGCCCAAACAGTTCTAATTTTGTTTCATCAGTCCACAGAACACTATCCCACAACTTTTGTGGTTTGTCCACATGGCTTTTGGCATACTGCAGTCGACTCTTCTTATTCTTTGGAGACAGCAAGGGGGTTACGCCTGGGAGTTCTGGCACGGAGGCCTTCATTACGCAGTGTGCGTCTTATTGTCTGGGCTGAAACTTCTGTACCCACATCTGACAAATCTTTTCTCAGTTCCTCAGCAGTCACACGGGGACTTCTCTCCACTCTACGCTTCAGGTAGCGCACAGCAGTCGAAGTCAGCATCTTCTTTCTGCCACGACCAGGTAGCGTTTCAACAGTGCCCTTTGCCTTGAATTTGCGAATGATGCTTCCTAAGGTGTCTCTTGGTATGTTTAACATCTTTGCAATCTTCTTATAGCCATTGCCCTTCCTGTGAAGAGAAATCACCTCTTCTCTTGTCTTCCTGGACCATTCTCTTGCCTTCACCATGTTTGTAACCACACCAGTAAATGTCTAGAAGGAGCTGAGTATCACAGTCATTTTAAAGCTGCCTAATTGGTGCTTATTATGCTTGATTGCTGCTCGGTGACATCCACAGGTGTTTTCAATACCTGATGGAAAAGCACCTGTATGAACCTCTGTTCTTCAGAGTGGTAGTCTTTAAGGGGTTGAATAATTGTGGCAATGAAGAAACCACATAAGAACCATTTACTACTGTATTACATAAACAATTGATGTCATTTTAGTTGCATTTGGGTAGTTACAAACGTCCTTGTAGGATTTGATTCTGAATACAATTCCAAATGTACACTATAGTCCCTAAACCCCTTTACAGCATTGGGGGTTTGAATAATTTTGGCCACAACTGTAGCTGACGTCACAAAAAATATTAATTGCCAAGTATCCAAGGTCTTAGTAATCTGAAATGACTCAGCGTAGTCTGCGGTTTAACTGTATAAGAAGAGACATTTTCATCAATGTAAATTAAACAGTAATAAAACACAAAGTAAATTGTTATTTAATATTTCTAAATTACATTATTAAGTGCCACCTTATTTCACAACACTGAGAGGGAGAACATCAAAACAAATCAGTCTCTGTACCAGAAGAGCAGAAGAGCTTACGCTCTAATGCCCCCCCCCCAGTCACAAAGTATTATTAATATACATTTATATATCTCTGACATATACCGCAGTGCTGTACAGAGATCACTGGCCCAGTCCCATGTCTCTGTACCAGAGGAGCTGACACTAATGTCCCCCACAGTTTTTACCAAAAGGAGCTTACACTCTAATGTCCCTCCCCCACAGTCACACACTATTATTATTATACATGTATATAGCGCTGACATATACCACAGCGCTGTACAGAGAACATTGAGCCAGTCACATCAGTCTCTGCACCAGAGGAGCTTACTCTCTAATGTCCCCCACAGTTTTTACCAAAAGGAGCTTACACTCTAATGTCCCCTCCCCCACAGTCACACACTATTATTATTACACATTCCCATAGCTCTGACATATACCACAGCGCTGTACAGAGAACATTGAGCCAGTCACATCAGTCTCTGTACCAGAGGAGCTTACACTCTAATGTCCCCAAATCCAAATGACACATTGCAGATAGTAGAAAGGCTTTAATCCAAAACTTGTGCAGATCTTCATAGAATGAACATTCAGATAGGTCAGAAGACTATAATATGAGCAGTTCCAGCAGCATCATGTGATCGGAATGGAGACTAAGGTATACCAAAAAGAGAGAGTGGGACTAACTGTACAGAGTGCCCCCTAACTATGGAGTGAGGCAACATGATACTGCCTGTCAAAATGTATGATTTCAAATATTAAACAAATTGATTAACCGGTTCAAATGTAGAATCAGTGAGAACTGTGATGATGTCATTTAAAAAGACAAGTCAGTTGGGGAGGACCATGAAACGTCTAGAACTGTAGGGACTGGTATTGCATGAGTGCCGTGACCAGTGGGGTTGAGGTCTGTAGGCACATGGTACCCATGCTCGAGAACTTTCTGATTTCAGTGGCTAACATGGCTGCACAAAGTTCAAGCCTTTGAATGGTATGTGTTGGCTTTGATGTCAGCTGTCAGGTACCTGGTGAAGACTGGAAGGCTATGGGGGGCCTCTCTTGCACCTCCTATCGAACACTCCTGAAGATGGAGGCAGAGTGTGAGGGCAAGGGGTGGCACGAGTGCCATAGTAGCTGGCTGGTGATCGCCGCTTTGTAGGGGGGTAGAGCTGGTAGTCACAGTCCTCAGAACAGGATGCAAGAGTATCTTGGCACCAGCAGGGCTGCTGTTAGAAACCATGGGGCCCCAAACAGCCAACCTGACAAGCCCCCCCCCCCCCCCCCCCCCCCCGAAAAAAAACAACACAGTTTACTATGCTTCAGTTATGAAAGAGTGAGTGATCGGTTGATCGGTACTGATCACTCATTGTGTTCATTCAGGAAAGGAAGGGCTGGTAAACGTGACATATTTACCGGATCCTTCCCCCACCCTCCAACCTGAAGGATCCTGTTGTGTGCTTGCAGCTGCCAGTGGGAAGGAGAGTAAGGAATCCGGCAGCACTACTACAGGGGTGGGGGCACATGGGGTCCTGGCCAGCAGGGGGAAACATAATGTGCACGGATGGTGGTGGTGGGGGGGGGGGGGGCAATTACTGGATCTGATCCCCTGTGTGGCTCTCTCTGCATCAGCTGAAAGCCACCAGGAGGTAGAGGAGAAGCCAGCTTTCAGCTGCTGCAGAGAGAGCCATACACGGGATAGGTCCCAGTAATTGCCCCCCTGTGCCATACCAATCACCCTCCCTGCCCACATCCAGTTCACCCAACTGCCTGCCCCCCCCGCTGGTCGGGGCCCTGTACAGGAAGACTGGTGGTACCCCCTTATCCATGGCCCTGGGCACCAGAGCAGAGAACAGAAGCAAGACAGGAGACAGGCAGAAGGTCTGCAACAACTGAGCAGTGAGCCAAGGCCAAGGTCAGTAACAATAGGGAAAAAACAGTACAGAATCAACAGACAAGTCCAGTAAACAGACCGGGGTCAGAGTAACCAAGTGAACAGGGTTGAGGCAGAAGCAGAGTCCAAGAGCAAGCCAGATCATACACAGTGTCAGGAATGGACTCAGCACTGGGGGTGGGACTCACCTGCCGTGTGGGCTGCAGTACCAGGGCTGGCCAGCGGGTGCTCTCAGCAGCCAGAAGCTCACTCCTGCAATCAGCCATCACCTGAGGTGTATTTAAGGAATGGCCAGGCCTGCAGTCAGGGCCTTGGTGTATGTTTCCCATGACCCCCTGTACCTGCATCCTGTCTGCTTCCTGCCTGATCCTGACTCTGCTTTGATCCTGACTCTGAATGAACTCCGCCTGACTTGGCTATTCCTGACCACTCTTCCGCTCGCTCCTGGTACCCTGTTTGCCCGTTTGCTACCGACCCGGCCTGCCCGACTACGTTTGATTTGTATATATGGTTATCTGTTGGAGTTTGGGTTGTTTGCACTGTGTTATGTTTACCTTGCACTGCATTTGTGTTGTTTAGTCTTAATAAATTGTCTTATTTACACTATACCTGAAGCCTGCGTTTCCCTGTGTCAGTCCACACACCTCTGGTCATACCCGGAGCCCTGACACACAGGTAGGCAGGTACAGCGAGTCTCAGGAACGCAGGAGCAAGCTGAAGACCATTCAGCAACTTGTCATAGTGACAGACCAGTATAAATAGGCTACTGGGCGCCAAGCGTACACGCTAATTGGTATGCGCACAGGCAGACGTGCGCATATGCACCCGCACACAGAATATAACTGGATATAACATTTATAGGGAAAGTTGATCCAGGGAATATCCGATTGCCTCTCGGGGGATCAGGAAGGAATTTTTTCTCCTGCAGGAGCAAATTGGATCATGCTTGGCTTGGTCTTTTTTTGACTTCCTCTGGATCAACTGTGCGTGTAGGATTAAAACTTTTTTTTTTTTTTGTTAATGGTTGAACTAGATGGACTTTTGTCTTTTTTCAGCCAGACTATGTAACTATGTAACAGTAAACAGCAAACCAGAACATCTCATATTGCCCTTTTGCTTAGAAGTATGAGCAGGTGTGCATGAGCATGAGCGTAGGTCTGCATGGGTTTCCTGGTGCTGGAAATCGGGTTTACCTTAGATCAGCATGGCCTTACTGAGGACAAAACCCACACTTACTTCATCTCTTAGATCCACTACTATCACTATAAGATTGT